GTGTGTATATATATATATATATGTATCTATGTATATATATATATATGTATATATGTATGTATATATAAATATGTATATATATGTATATATGTATATATATATGTATGTATGTATGTATATATATATTTATATGCATATATGTATGTATATACATATATATGTGTGTGTGTGTATATATATGTATATGTATATATATATGTATGTATATATATATATGTATATATATATATATATGTATGTATGTATATATATGTTTTTTGTCTTTTCGATTTTTTCTGTGTGCTCTTATTTATTTATTTTAGTAGGTTATACTTTTTTTCTTCTTTTTGAAATTTTTCTGTGAAAAATGTACTCTCCTGGGACTCTGTGTGGCTGTCACACTCATTTTTTAATAATATTTTTCTCTACTCATTATTATATGTTTATTCTGTTGTTGTTTTCTGGTTTTTGTTTTGTTTTTCTTTAGAAAACATATTCAAAGAGAAGAGTTTACATCTAAGATCACTGAGTCCCTGAGCCTGTTCCTATATTTTTAATAAATAGTTTCCTGTCTTGATCCCAATTTGATCGTGGCCGGCAAGATTCCACAAATCCTTGCCCAATCCCGAAAAGCCCTGAGTCCAAAAATTCTGGTTCACAAGGTACACTATAAACCCTAAACCCTACCAAAAGACAGGCGAACATTCTCAGTAGTATCCCTTATTGACTTTTGGCTCGGCCCTAGTCAAAGCATACGACTCAAGTATTCTTAGTAATCCTCATATGTCCTTCCTTAAATCCTCTGTGTGAAAGTCTGGGGATTCTAAAACCCCTATTTGTACTCTTTCCGACAGACCCGTAGTGGTCTAAAGGTCTACTGGTCTACAACTAAGCCTAAATGTCTACATAATGTCTATGTACGAGCTTTAAGATCTAACCTATTCGCGATTTCTCAATAATTCTATGTTTCATCGTTTCACAAGGGGTCATGTGGTGATGATTCATCAAAATTAATTGGTCACAATTTTTCGAGAAGACTCTTTTCACCGGGGAGATAATAATAGGTTCTCTCGATAACTATGACAACATGGGCTTGAACCATGGCACATCCGAGAGATAAGGGCACATCAAAGGAAAGTCTGCCTCATCTACAGCGATAACCTTGACTAAAATACGAGGAATTGCCACCCATGAGGAGTTCACCCCCAAATTCAGAAACGTCCATAACTTTGAGAACGCACCACCATCCAAAGAGGGAGAGACAATGTTAGACAAGTGGCTGTTGCCTGTGAGAGAAACGGCATCATGGGTATGCGAACCCCAAGTTCTCTCAGCCATAGCAAAGTATTTCTTATTGGCCGAAAAGGGGGGGGGAGCCAACAGTATATCGCTACCTAACACGGCAACAGGGTCCATCCAGAGATCTACCTTGGTGGCTAGACGGCTCAGCATATCCGCTGTGGCATTGTCCTTGTCCCGGACATGCAACTTCCTGCTAACACAATTGACGCCGACCACGAGGACCATCCACAAAGAACTTTCAGTTCCATGAAGTCAAAAGTACTCGACAGTCCGTGGGAATTGTAATAGGGTGGCGGGAGATATCAAACACCCCACAACGTTTTCCAAGGTCATACAATTGTGCAAGCCATTCCTTGTCAGTTGTATGAAAATTAAGGTGAGCCGGTGAGAACTTTGAAGAAAAGTCGTTCCGCAGAACATAAACCGCACCACCAAGGCCGATGTGCTCACAGGCATCGGCGAACTGGTATAGTCGTGCACCTGGCTCCGGCGTGGCTAAAATCGCCCAAGTGTTGAGACGCTCATTGATTAAGTCAAACGCTGCCTATTGATCAGCACCGAACTTAAAACGGATCCCATCCTTAAAGAAGGCCGACATAGGCTTCAGGATTTTAGAAACCTCATCACCATAACGCTGTCAAAAGACTACCGTGTAGTACCAAGACCGCAAACGGTTCTGGTTGGTTAGACGGTCAACCTCGAACAGTGCCGCTAAGCGATGAGCTAACATTGTAACGCCCTGATAATTGTACCATCACCCTACAATCTTCAAAGGTCACTTGTATTACCCAATCCGCGCCTTGCAAAGGCCAAGTTGGATGTCATACTTGCCACACCGCTCAAAGAATGCAATAATATGATTCTAGTGCTCCAAATCATCAACTGAGCAAATGACAATATCATCAATATACCACCTGATGCCCTGCCAGGGTCTCTTAGAAGCTGTGGACAAAGTACTCTAGGCGGATATTTAGGACAGGACTTGGAGGACCGGACCTAGGGGATTATTAGAAATTTATAGAGATAGAAGTGATGACTCATACGAAACCATAGAGACGAGTATTTTTACATAGTCCGATAGTAGAGAAAATTTCGTTCCACATAGGAGCAGGCGCGCCATTCCCAATGGCACCTCTGACTGAGTTCACTTATTTCAGACTTAGCATCCTTTATTAAGTGTTATTTGGAAAAACTGGTCGAAGGTGGAAATGATTGCATGGACACATATTCAACTAGTCGAAGGTGGAAGTGATTGCTTGGGCACCAACAGTTATATGCAAAGAGACTATATTACTATGGTTGGGAGCAGGCTTTTATGTAAATTTTCCAAAGACGTCAATAACCATCGTCATCACAACTCAGGCGTATTCAACGCATACGGTGGACACTAACAGAACTTAGAATAAATTTGGGGAATATCACAATTTTTTTCATATTTAGGTGACATGACGCGACGGCACCTCGACTGGCGGCGGGGTAGAGACTGGCGGTGAAGTAAAATGTTTGTTTATGACGCCATTATCTATGTGTAGGTTGACTTCAGTCGTTACACTTTGAAATGATGTCCGTCAGTTACAGACCGGCCAATCATTCGACAGAGGAGTATGGATACTCTCAGTAGTGCTGACACAATGTGCTAGCATATACGACGTGCGATCATCTGAGTGACAGTGATTAATTGTGCTGCAGGCGGCACGGCTGGTTGCATGGTTCACAATTAC